AATCCTAGATAATTCTTCTCTAGTATTGTTACAATTCAGGAACGTAATACATGTATTGCAAGAAGGTAATCTCTGGCCTAATGGGGGATTTTTCTTAAAGGTTTCAGATTGCCACACCAAATGTTTGTTTCTTTGCCTCAAGAAGATGATGATATGATTTTGGTTAGTAAACTAAAACTTGGGCAATTTGTATATGTGCAAAAGTAGGAGAAGGATACTCTAGTTCCGTGAGCTTAATAGTTAATAGATTGTCCATCTGAAAACTATCGTTTGTTTTGATTGCTTGCTCTATATGAAATTATATGTTTTCCATCCATAGACGGACAAGCAAATAGAAGTGACAAACCATAGCGTGGGAAATCTCAAAAGTTGGGGGCAGGACCCCCTAGGTCCGCCCATGCATACGCGAATGGGACTCGGACGTTGTTGTTGCTATTTTTTTTTTTTTTGTTTATACTTTATAACATGTTGCTTGAGTCCAAATATTTCCAATTTCAGTTTTCCAGCAATAAAATCGTTCTTGGCAATAGACTTTACATTGATTCCAAGTTTATCTAATCTTCCCATCAAAAGTCTTTGGCTACAAGCATTGCTTTAAAGCTACGAGGATCTTTAGTAGACTGCACTTCCTTTACCTTCTACAACCATTTGCAATCTACTATAGATTTACCCTTATGTTCAGGTACCAGTGTCCGAGTCTTGTTCTTATGAGAGGATGTAATTTCTTCTTTCATAGCTAACTAATAAAATGTTTACAAATTAAAACATATAAAGTGAACGGATTGGACAACACTTTGAACTGATCGGTTTCGATTCATGTTCGGTTCCCTTTTTGCATATGGAAACAATGGTTCAATTTCAAAATTTTCGATGAGAATTGTTTCGATTCCAATTCTCAAGAAAGCCAAACCACAGAATTAGTGGGCACCCATATATATATTATTTTATTTATTTTTTTATTTTTTTAATATTGTATGTAAATTGTGACTATTTATTAACGATGCTCACTATGTTGGTATTGATTGATGATCTCAATATGAATATCGCACGTTGTGGGAGGTAATCGTTTTACTTGGCGAAATAATAGCAAATCGAAATTGCATGTTGTAAATTGTTCGTAGTATTAAGACACTGCTTGGTATAGGTTAAAATTTGTTTTTAATCCCAACTTTAATTCAATAAAAAAAAATAAAGTTGCATATTTATTGGCAGTGGGCCGTCTTAGCTCAGCCGGTAGAGCGCATGGCTTTTAACCATGTGGTCGTGGGTTCGATTCCCACAGACGGCGATTTTTGGTTTCCCTCTTTGGATTGCCCGTGTTAATTTCATTATATTAAGGTTTAACTCATTCTCAACAAGGAAAATTTTAAAATTTCTTTTGAATTCATATCTCACAAAAAAAAGTTCCCAATTTTGCAATGACTTTTTTCTAGTTAATTATACGATATATCACAAATTATTCATTACTAACTTTTATTATTTAAAAAATTAAATATTTTAGTTATGTAAGGTAAAAAGGCAAACGTAATCTATATTCAAGAGTAAATTTTTCTCATGTCATGTCATGTCACGACTAGATATGTACGTGTATCCTATGTCAAACTATATCAGTATTTTACTTCTTGTATAATAACTTTCAAAATAATTAACATAGATAATTTCCTCTAAAAACTATTTTAGCTGGACAACACATTTTCAAAAAATTACCCAATTCTGAAGCAGCTTTTTCATCTCAGAGATGACTTTTAACTTCTCAAAAGTCATACCAAACTAGTCCTAAATCAAATGATTGAAATTGCAATTACGATATTTACGTATAATAAAACTAACTAAAATTTTATAGTATGAATTAATTTTAAAATTTTGCATCATAAATTAAAGAAGATTTTATTTCCATTCTGCAAGATTTTATGATGTAGAAAGTTGATGAAAATTCTTTTCGTTTGGTGAAATCTAAAAAATGTCTACTATTTATAACTTAATAAAAAATGACCAAAATGGTTTACGTGAAGTCTTAAGTTACCCTTTTTAAAGAAACGTCCATATTACTATGCTCCCGAGATGTCATCTACAATGGAGGTAGGGACTATGGTATTGTCGAGGTTTTACGTACTCAAGTCTTGATCGCGTAGAATGCTAATTATTTTCTACCCTTGTGATACTTGTTGAGAGCTGGTCGTAACATGTGAAGCCTATACTCAAGTCTTGATGATCACAATCTCTATTGTTACTTGACAACAATAGACGAAGTACGCGAATGAGAATAGGCTCGAGGTTTTGAGAAAGAAGCGGCTATTGAAGAATAGATATAATAGGGCACTGGCAGAGCTAGGGGGTTCCTGGGGAGACCCAGACCCCCAAATTTTTGACAATTTTTTTTAATTTTAAAATTTTATTTTTTGGTTCTTTTTATATTTACTATTACCATTTTGTCCTCAAATTGAATAAAAATCTTATATCCTACCAATTTCATTTTTCGTTTCCGTCTTCAAAATATGAACTCGAAAGGAACACTTGTCATCTTAAATCCTACCAATTTCATTTTCGTTTCCGTCTTCATAGTATGAGAATTCGAAAAAAACACTTGAAATAAGGTATGATTTTGCTAAATTAAATATTTGTACTTTCGTTTATATGTTTTTTGGTTTTTTTGTTACTAAGGTATCCAAAACAAAAATATTCGAGAGCAGCCACCCCTTCATTTATATATCTTCAATACTGGGACCCCCTACTTCAAACAGTTGGCTCCGCCCCTGCAATAGGGAACACTTTCACTTAAGTTCCTCTAACCAAATGAATAAAATACTTGATACTAACATCTAAAAAGGAAATGAAAGATTAATATTATGGAGTTTGTTGATGAGTTCCTTTTTCGTATACAAACTGATACTAGAAGTAGAGGGAATATGTTAATTGTTCATGAGTTTCTTGTCAGCATATAAAAATTAATATTAAAAGCACAAGTAATAATCGTCATGAGTTCCTTTTCCATAGTGTTCAATTGAATATTGTTTTTTGTGTTAATGTATTGTGCATTTTTTATGTTTTAGAAACGGTTTTAGTTTGATTTCAAATGATTTTTAACTCTCGAAACCTAAATGGAATTGATTTTAAACGGTCTGGTTGGACTCGGACTAAACCAAGATTACAAAAACACAGTTTATATTCAGTCTATAGATTGTGGCTTTTCTGTTTACCTTTAGTTTAAACATAATGGTAAAAATGTATTGCTACGATTTAGTTGTACTATATTAATGATATAATCAATCTAATATTAACTTTCAATCTTCTTACATGGATTAGGTTCATCTTTATTTGATTTTATTCTATTTATGGATTCGAGCTCCAAAAAATTGTAACGGAGTTATATGGCCTGCATACGTCTCATTGACCAAAGAGTGAAATAGTATTCAAAACTAGGTTATTGGCCCAAAAAGGTGTATTAAAATTTGGACAAAATTGGTAAGTGGACCACATTGTACAATCAAACCAAACTCATCCCACTCCTCCCTACATATAAAATGTTTCCCAGCCAGAATTAAAGCAAGAAACATTCTTGTTCCAAAGGTATCCTAAGCAATATTTTGTTGTACCTTCTCTAGCCTGGTAGGAATCCAAAGAGCCAGGTGTCACAACTTGAAGATAGAGATAAATTGACCAAGGGATTATTTGATTGGCATAAAAAATATTTCCTAGAAAAAAATATATTTTCTTTGGTTTAAGAAAAACAAAAATCTACCTCCCCCAAAAGAAAAGATTTTCCTCAAAAATAAAGAAAATCAGACATGTTTTCAAAAGTTGAAAAATATTTTCCATGAGAAAAAAATGACAATCAAATACTTCATAAGGTTGAAAAATAATTTTTATGGAATATTTTCTAACCAAATACACCCTAAAGGTAATAGAGTTTTATATGTCGTGCATTGCACCTATCGACTTTACGTTTACCTTCTTCGTGCTTGTTTGGGAGAGTTCAAATTACAATTTATATTGTGGGTCTCGCAGAATGTATGAATAAAAAATGAATATTAATTGTAATTTTTACGAAATGTGTAAATAAAAAATATGTTTGGCCAAAAGTGATTATAAATTAAAAGTTGGGAAACGTGCATTAATATACTACTTCCGTCACAATTATATAAGTTGAGTTTCCTTTTTCTCTTGTCTCAAATATATAGGCCAGTTTTTTAATGTAAAATATTTTGTTGCGTTTTTTTTACCAATATATCCTTATTAAATTTTCCACATTTAATATGTCAACTTCTTGAAATCATCCAAATACACACATTTCCCACTTCTTGGAAATATGGAACAACTCTTATTATTTCTTCCTCTTCAAATTTTTTATTAGTTCCAACAATAATTTAATTTTACGTACTGAAAATTAAATAGGGGTAAATTAGAAAATATCTTGACTAAAATTAATTTTCCAATGANATTTAATTTTACATACTGAAAATTAAAAGGGATAAACTAGGAAAAATATTGGCAAAAATTAATTTTTCCTTGAAAGAATCTTTCTTTATCCGTGTGAAAAACAAAATAAGTCTATATAATTGAGACGGATAGAGTAATAAATTAGCATTGCCCGTTAAATTTCATGATGGCTGAAGTTTATAAAATGATGTTACAAAATTAGGTCGCTCTAAAATTGAATTATTCATTCGTTTTGACACTACTACAAAATGCCCTTCCTAATTAATACCAATTCCAAATAAATAAGATTAGAAATATATAATAGCATTTCCACACAATTAAATATCACATAACAATAATATTATAGTACAATTTACTTAAAAATAAAATAGCTGCGGGCAACTATTTGGTGCAGCCGCTTCAGCTACTCCGACTTTTTCCCCATTACAAAATGTAGAAATTTCCTTGTTTTTCTACTTTACCCCAATCCCACACAACTGCTTTCACAGTTCTCAAGAAAATTTCTAAACCCAACAGTCAAAAAGGCATCAAATTATGGAAATTTGACTTTAACATGAACTGTTTCAGACTCTGAAGTTCTTTCCAACAAAAGTTTGACCAAATTGCCAATGTGCAGGGGCTATGTTCCATGAAGTGGAGGTGCGTCGATCACTACCGGTCACTCTAAATGAGAGTGATTGACCAACTAAAACTGAGTTTGATTGCCAGTTTTGGCCCCAATTCCGACTCATGCTCATCCATCCGGTATTTGACCCCTTAATGCTCACTCTTGTGATATCCCCTGCACCCGCGACATTGGTGACCAAAACTAGGTTAAAGTAACGGAATCCATTGATCGTGAACCTTATGCCTCCTTGCCTCCTACATGGCACCCTGCATAATATATATTCACACATTTGATGTTAATTTACATTTAAACGTGTGTAAAAGTTATATAGGGTATGATAATTCACGTGCACTTAGGACAACAATGCTTATTTTGCATGAAAAAATCCAAAAGACAAGATGTAATGACGATGAAGCGGGTCTCGATAGTAATATGATAAGTTTGGGGTTTTCTTGCTATAAAAGTTTGACAACCCATCGTGGGAATAGAAATGGTCACCACACCCGATTTTGAGCATTTTATTTGAATTTCCTTCAATGACTATACTCCTTTGGATGGCTATCTAATATCTATACTCCAGATCGAGTCGGTCGGGTGTACAATAATTTGATATTGATGGAGACCCCAAAAAATATTTGAAGCTGAAAGGGACTAAAAACTGTCTCACATGTCCAACTTTTTTGCTAGTTAGCCCGGTTTGAGTCACATTCTCATTATTTTACTCATTTTCAACCACACATTATTCAATAAAATAATATTTTTCATCGCATTGACAACATTTTTTTTTTAATCACATATTCACCGCCACATAAAGAAAATGCATTATCTCTTAAAAAATGTGTATCAAACACTCTGTTAGTCAAGTATTTGGTAACAAAATTCGTGACCTCTCTATGTAACAAATTGATTTGACTTTGGTAAGTATGCATACGACGTACCAAACGCAACTTGAGTAAACAACAGAGAAAAAGGGTCTAGCCGAGAATATTACCTGCGGTAAACTACGGGAACAATTCCAGCCCGGTACTCGGCAATTTTAAGAAACATGGGCATGGCGAGGTCAAAGTGCGGCCTGGGCGGGTTGCACCAACCGCCATTGTCGTTTGGCAGAGCGTAGTTGGGCGGGCAGAAATTGGTGGCAGTGATGAAAATGGAGGGGCTGCCGGCGTGGCACCACTGCCGTTCGTTAGAACACTTGATCTCGAAGCACGCCCCGCAGCTGAACCCTTTGTTGAACAACGCCGTGCTGAGAGCGGCGGTGTTTACTCCGTAGCCTTGGCTGTATAAGTTGCCATATCCACAAGCACCACCTGAATATAAAATGTGTTACCTCTAAGGGAAAAATCTACAGAATAAAATATGAGAAAAATAGTTTATGAAATTTTTACACACCCATTGTGCCAGAGGCATCACTGCCTCCGTAGAAGGTGGCATGGGCACCTTGCCATGATTCACCTCTGTAAACTCCGGGGATTCTGGCTTGAACTGCCAGTACTGAAAGAAGTAAGACGAGAAAAGTGATGTTGCACACTCGATCTACTAAACCCATTTTTTCTCACTAGAAAAAACAAGAATGTGGGTATAACTGAGAGAGAGAGATGGAGATGTGGAGGAAGGTGTGGAGGGAAGAGGACTACTTATGGAGGAAACTCAAACAGAGTATCAGTGGCAGTTGTGTAATTTGAGGAGAGTATAGGTCCTTTTTGTAAAATACGAAGCTCTTCAATGTGGGGTCAAGTTTTGCGGTAACAGTTTTCTTATATATCCAGTTGGGTTCACAACTGAGTTGTGGATCTAAAATTATTACGTCATAATTTCGAATATTTGAATTAGAGATTAAATTAAAAATTAAGATATTTTTATAGTGGAGCTAATGTGTGAATATACCATCGTGTTGGTTTGGATAGCATGACAACTTGAGAAGTAATGATTATTGAAGAATGTGTGATTGAAAAATAAAAAAAAATTAAATTAAATTAAATTTACGTGTAAAATTATTTTATTAAGAGAACGTGTAATTGAAAATGAGTTTGGAGAAAAATGTGTTCAAACAAAAGCTAAAAACTAAACTTGTTTTAGTATAATTTTTTAGAGAAAACAATGTTAGGGCAATACGTCAAAAGCCCATGTTTAAAGAAAATTCATGTCATCGTGTCATTGCAACCTCATATAATATACAATTGTGTCTCGCCCTGTCTAATTTTTGCTCCACAACTAAATCACGGCATATAAAATATCTATAAAATTAACACAATTCAATTATTATTTCTTTGTTGTTTTCAACTCAATTAAAAAAAAAAAAAAAAATCTTGCTTTTGTGCTTTTTGGCTAAAAAGTAACTTCAACACAAAAATTATACATCTTCGATATGAACCGTGCCCCTCAAACAGGGTGGGAGGACCGACCTAAAAACAGGGGTTGAGGTGATGGCATCTCAGCTCCCTTTTTTTGGTCGGTCATCAACCCTGTTTGAGTGGCATTTTCCCTTCCAATTATGACAAGTGGCATTGACAATTTTATTAGGTAATTTTATTTTTTTCACTCGACTACTTTTTGCCCATATGAGAAAAGTATCCTTGCAAGGTATCCAAAGGATGCCAAGACTTTCTTTTATACTTTTTCCTCTTTTAATTCCTTACTTATCAATAGAAAAGTACTTATTTTGACAATAGAATTAATTATTAACTTGTTTAGCTAAACAAGCATTTCATGAACACCGTGTCTAACGTTTAGGTTAGTCGCACAACTACGATTTTAAAAAATAATAAAAAATGTGCCCTAAATTTGTTGAAAAATAAAAATTCCGTGGTATACGCTATTCATACTAAAAACAGATGTGAAAATCAAGAATGGTTAGTTGGTATAATGCAAATAGCTTTGCGTCAAACGTAAGAATTTTCAAGCGTAATCAGCGGCTATGATTCTAGGAATTAATACATGGTGGGTTGGTGTGGGGCACTATAAAGAAACTCGGTATCCAACGTATACAGATTGATAAAGCTCCCGTACAGAAATTAGGTAGATTTTGATAAAAATTATAAATTTTATAAAATATTTAATTAAAATTAATTGTTGACATTGAAATAAATTCTTAAAACTTTTTTACATAAACCGAACGGGGCTAAAATGCATTGTGGGTTATTAAACTTTTAAGCATAGCTGCATAAAGTTACGTAGTAATCTTTAATTTGGTGCAATCTGATTATTCAACTTTAATCGGCTTTTGAATCTAGCAACATCGTATTAGTTGTCAAGTTAGTTTAACCACCTTTATAAGCTGACCTAGATATCAATACGAACAGATTACTAACGTTTATGTCCACATCATACAACAATGCGTAAAATTCATAAACGCTTTTAAAAAGTATGAACTAAAAGCGTATTTTTACAAATCGACTATCCATTTATTTTTATTAACGAACGTTATAAAATGATGACGGTGAACAAAGATTTGCAAAAGCTAATCGAAATTGGATGACCTAATTATACTAAATTAAAGATAAGTGACCTAGATGCAACTTCCCTTAAAGTTGGATGACTCAATTGCAATTAACCCAAGTAAAGGGTAATATTTTGGCTTTCCCCTGTGGACCATTTGGATTCCGCAATTAACGGGCAACGAAAAATGCAAATGAAGTGGGTCCTACAATCGCACACATATCTCGAGCCACACGCGCGACACATGAATTTTCGGTTTTCCCTGTCTCTTTTACTAATTATTGCAACTTTAAGTCCTCAAATTTGTGTCTGTAAGTGTCGACTAGTACCGAACAATCTATATCAAGTATGTTTAAAGCAAATACAAATCGAATTGGTGATCTTTTTGCAATTCCTTAATATTAGTAAAATAATTTCTTAAAGTAGTTCGAGTATGCGAAAATGTTATTCTTTAATTCACACAGAATATCTATTTCAATAAGCAAAAGTGGTCAGAAAATAATTCATTACGAAATTGAATCAGGTGAGAAATGCAATGAAATTTAAATGTCCATTAATCGTAACTTTCATCTTATCAATTCATAATTCGACATGCCGCTAATGGTGAATGAGACAATTTTCTCGAACTCAAATTTTGTTATAGAAAAAAAAAATTACTTCTATAAGACGAAATCTAATTAGTATTGAATTGTTTAAGGTTTTTTTTTTTTTTTCGAATTATGTTATTTAAATTGAAGTCTATGTAATATTTAGCTATTGTTTGATGTTTATTATTTTCAAAATACATTTTTTTTTATTACACATACTTTAATAAAATAATATTACATGCAAATAAAAAAAAAATCTTATTTTCTAACTACACATTCTCAATTAATTAATTATTCCAAAATGCATTCTTAGTCAGAACGGGGCTTAATCATACACTTAATTTAAAATATAGCGGAGATAACAAAGAAATATAAGTGTTTATGAGAGAGAAAAATTGATAATCGGGGTAGAAAAACTAGTTCGCAATTATAATGATAATGATAATGATGAAAAATGGCCAATCACTAGAATAAAGTTGTCAAGTCAAAATGTATAGTAACTTCAATAGGAAATATTTGTGAATAATAAGCGGATTTAAGTAACATGTCGTATGGAATGTGTGAATAAAAAGAAAAATGTTAAGTGTACATAATAAATGTATGCAATGAATGACATGATGTGATGTGACAACCATTCTGTCGTTGATGTGAAAGTGTCAGATTTGAATTAAAGGTGTTGATCAATGTTACTTGCAAATATGTAAACTATTATATAGACCATTATGTACTTATAACAGCACTCGAATAAAAATAGTGAATCATGAATAAACTCCTCCATGTGCTTCCCGCTCGTCCAATTCATGTTTCTTCTTTTCTAAGGTCAAATTAAAGATCCAATCATATTATTCCAAATATACTTCTTAAAACTTAAAATTTAATGGCAAGCATAGGGGAACAAAACCTTCATAATTACAGCGTGCTTTTCATTTACAATCATTAGGCATGTTTTTTTTACCTAATCATTTACTCATTGCACATTGGTCCAAACTTAATTTTGTAATTTAACCTCTCATCTCTTTTTCTAGCTAGTAAAATCCTCAAGAAGAAATGTCACTTAGGGATGGCAAAAGGGTAGAATAACTAGTCGAAACTCAGTCCATGGATCGCTCGAGCTTGTTTATGGACAAGCCCGAGTTCGAGGCGAGTGGGCTTGTTCGGGGAGCCAAGCCTCGAGCTTGAGAGAATATGAATAAAATAGTCAAAAAAAATTAAAAAAAGAACTCGAGCTCGTGAACTGAGCTTGGCTTGTGAGTTCGCGAGCTCATGCGTCAAGCCGCGCTCGACCCTTGAGCATAGCTAAGCTCGTGCTCAGCTTGTGCTTGAATAAGCTCAAGCTCGGCTCGTCAAGCGATGAGCTGAGCTCGTCGATACATGGGCAGAGCCGGCTTGGCTTCGTCCATTGCCACCACTAATGTTACTGCTAATTTTCTTCTATTTTATTCCACAAATTATGCATACATACATACTAATGTTACTAACTAATGTTGTTATCTTTTACATCCATACTTTTCATAGAATATGACAGGAGAGTGTTTCTTGCAAGCATCAAGAACTAATAATTCTTTAATCTAAATTTGTTGAGTTCAAAAATATTGAGAGAATGTCAAATATTGGTACAAATTATGAGTTTTATATTTCAAGGAAAGAAGAGTTTTAACTAATGCGAGAAAAAACCCTACAACTATTAGTGCCCAAAATACCCTCACTTAAAAAAAAAGGATAATTGAAATAACTAAATGATTAAAATTAAAATAATTTGCTTGTTCGATATGCATCCCGCAATATCTTGATGTTCCACTTCCTAGGCCCTCAGTAGTACTGATTTCTATAGTTACATTTCTGGGCGTTTTGACATTGCGTTTGGTCCAATTGATTCGTATCCATCTTTATCAATATTTCAGGTTGACAAAGATGCACACTTGAATTTGTGTCATTTCTTGATTTGGTACCTCATGCTATCTTCATGCTAAATTCAAGTGAAGTGATAAATATCATCATGTCACCACTCTATTTCATTGCCTTGACTAGTCGAGCACAACGGCACGCCACTAATATTAGTCTTGTGTTACCCTCCAAGCACTCTTCAGTAGTCTTGACGCCGGCTCCTCATAAAAAATGGGTGGACACTTGAAATCCTTCACCGAATCAACCCTCAAATTGGGATTGAATGGAGCAAAAACATCTGCATTGTAATATGTCTCAACATTAGATCCACAACTATCTCACACACTAACCTCTATCTGTGGATTGCACCTTGTTTGGCAGATACGCCTCTAGACTCAAAAGCAAATGATCCTGGCTTCTATTGCATCATCAGGAGAGTGACATTGACTCTAATACAACACAAATATCAAAAATAAAACAACATCTTAATCTAATTGTGATCATTCGACAAAATACTTGAAGATGATTGAATTTTAACTTAAAAAAAAAAGGAAAAATCTAAAGATTATATCGCTCTTAGAATTTTTTTAATTAGCAATAAAGTGCAAGAAACCCCACCCTTTAATGCCTGAAATGCCCT